GGGAGGAGGAGGCTACTGAGCAGGATCACGTGCGCTAGGCACATGAGAGGGCTTGGCACTATGCCCAGAGCATCCAGGTGTGATGCCAGGGACGAACGCTTGATGGGAACACTGCCGAGTAGACAAGTGATGGACCAAGTGTGTCTGTTTCCTTTAAAGGCCCAGAAAGTGGAAGGGTTAGTCCTGACTCACAGATTTAGGGCAGGAATACCAACATGTCCTTCAGAGAAGATCTTGACAAACAGATTTCAGCCTGACCATCCGGCAGAGTACAGGGAAGCCAACAGCTCATCTGCCATGCCCAGGCAACTGGCATGAAGAGGACAGCGTCCTCACTGGAAATACAGCACCCCACTGGATTGCTCACTGGCACTGGGGTGTGTGTGTGTGTGTGTGTGTGTGTTTTAAGATCTACTTATTTTTATTGGAAGGTCAGATTTACAGAGAGAAGGAGGGACAGAAAGATCTTCCATCTGTTGTTTCACTCCCCTAGTGACCACAACGGCTACAGCCAAGCTGATCCGAAGCCAGGAGCCAGGAGCTTTTTCCAGGTCTCCCGCATGCAGGTGCAGGGTTCCAAGGCTTTGAACTGTACTCTACTGTTTTCCCAGGCCACAAGCAGGCAGTGGGATGGGAAGTGGAGCAATCAGGATATGAACTGGTGCCCAAAGGGATCCCAACACGTGCAAGGTGAAGACTTTAGCCGCAAGGCTACTGTGCCAGGCCTGTGGGGTTTGTTTTGAACTTAAGAACTTTACATACAACTCCAAGCGATGGGCACCTCATATTCTTGCTTTCATGTCAATTGGCAACATCGTGCAGACTTCGCTTGGGCTGCACAGTCCTAGTATAAAATGCTCTAAGTTCCTGAATTAGAACCACCACCCACTTTGCTGGCCACTGCACCCTGGGATTTCCAGTTTCACTGGGGCACCTCTGGGATGACAGACTGCATCCCCTTTTCTCCTTCCTTGCTTTTATAGTTGATCCCTGGAGAACAGGCCTCCCTTCCCAAGGTTGGCTCTCAACCCTGAGAATGACCTTGCCCATCTGTCTTCACCTGGACGCCCATACCAGCCCAGAGAGCCTATGCCTGCGGCTGGCTGCATGAGCCACGCATGAGCCACGTCGGCTAATCCTGTCAACCCCCGAGGAAATCCGAGCCTAATGCCCTGAGATAGAGCACTGTCGCGGGACAGCCGAAACAGTTCAGATGAACAGGCAAGCAGAAGGATCAAAACCAAAAAACCAAACCACCCAAGCAAGACTGCTGCTACAGAAGGTCCCCAAAAGAGCTCACAGAGGAGGGGGCTGTGAACTTGCACTCCTTGAAACAAAATCTGTACAAATGAACAGACAAGTGCTTTCCCATCACTGGCTTTTAACCTCATTTTCAAGACCTTTTCTCCTTTTTCACTGTTATTAGTTTCACTTTTTCTTCTCTTTCTTTTTTGCTTTGATTGTAGACATGCCCAACAACTTTTACGCACTGCCATCTCTGTTGTGTTCCCCTTTAGAAAGCAGTTGTCATACCTTCTACTCAAAACACTCAACTAACTCCAACCTCAGGGACTTTTTGTTCCAGAAGGAACTTGTTCTCACGGAAACTTGTTTAAGGCCACAAAATTTGCAAATTAGTCAGTGACCCGAGGCAGTAGCTCTTTGAATTGCAGATCAAATACATTCATGGTTCATTACAGCACAACCTGCACTCTCTGAGTCGAAGAAATTATTAACTGGTATCACCTAGTTTCAATGTTGGTTTGAAGTTTGGCTAGTTTTATGGTTTGGACTTAAATTTTTTTTAAGTTAAAAAACAGTAAACATCAATTTCTGGCTTTCTCAGCAAGTACAGAGAAAGCAGGCCAAGGAGGCCAGGGGTTGGGGGGCTAGGGACACAAGTACAGCCAATACACATGTGCTTTTGATGTCGTTTACAAAAAGAGAGAGCAAAATTTCAGCGTATGTTTGGAAAATGTCTAGGAGCTGTCTTCTAAAAGTGCACTGGGAGTCACCACAAATTATTGTTTCCTCCTCAGGAGATACCCGCTTCCCACAAAGGGAAACAACCCCTACCACTACGAGAAGCTGCAGTGCTCCGTGGAGGGCCACGGGCCAGCTGTGCCCCCTTAGCAAAGCCCAGGAGTATGATCCACAGCAGTGAAGGAGTTGCTCTCACGAGTAACCCAAGCTTGTGACACAGGGTAACTCAGACTCAGAGAGCGCACACACACTTCACTGACACAGTCTCCAGGGACAACTCCGGGATGGCTGAGAAGCCCAGATCCTGTCATTAAGGGGAAGCTTTTCCACTTGACTCACTTCCGGGCTTACCACCTGGGGAGTCATACAGAGTTGATTCTGAACTTCTGAGATACTAGATGTTCCTGGTGAAGAACTCAATCACTCTTTACATTCAGTAAAAATCCCATCCGCTAACCTGGGGACAGCTCTGGAAGTTACTGGCACTGGATTTAGGTGGCACAGCACTTGGGGGCCCTTGCATCGCCCACCTGTGCCTGGGCCACATTACAACGCTTACTTTCTTTTCTCAACATTCAGTAACTCGTGCACCTTCATGAACTGTCAGGCTTATTAATCATGCAAGGCACACCACGAGCACCTGGTGCAAAAGCCTTAGAGGAAAGATTCTTTTCATTCCCTACACCTGCTGAAGCCAAGGTGCTTGGCACGCAGCTCTACAGGTAATTCGTCAACCGGGCTACACTGAGTTGACAATAGATGTTCAAGCTTCAAGGCACTGCTGAATTCCACAGCTCTGGGCTTCAGGGAGCGCTGTTCTCCTCCGTCTGCCCCATACCTCCATGGGAACACAGCTTCCGTCCGTAGCCAAGCCTGTCACTCAGTTGCAACAGGAACATCCTTCCGGATGCGTCTTCCCATTTTAGGAAGAAGGTGGTCAGAGCACGGCCTCTCCTGGAGCAGCATTACTGGGTTCAATGGTTTTACCAGGGCCTGAAGTCACTACCACAGGCAGCAGCTGTGGAGTCTTGGAAGAGCAACATTCCTTGAAGATGCTATCACAAAAACTGGTTTTCTCCTAAGACTAAAACCTGAAATTTAGTTAAGGTGATCCCCACACAAGACTCCCCCGCTCCCAGCACAGGCAGACAGGTTTCTGTGCCATGCTTGCAGAGTCAGGGCTCCCACTATCTGAACACTTTGGGGGGATGTGGTGGAGGCAGAGGTGGAAGTATCCCGCCTTGGCGCATTTCTAGGCAGCCCAGTTCTCCGAGGAAGCAGAGTGGGCAGTTACATGTTTGAGTCCTCCTCTCCCAGACACTTCTTAGCATCGGGTGGCCTTGGTTTATGAGAAAAGGGTTCAAGCAAAAGTCAAGTGCACTAACTAAATTATTTTCTTCCTGAAGATGTCAGTGAATTCCTTTCCCAGTGTCTCTTCAAAGCGGCACCAAGTAAACAAAAGTAGCCAAACGACACCAAACCAAACCTCAAAGCTAAGGAGGATGCTGGGGCTGGAGCCTGCTCATGGAAACCTGTTCTCTGGTTCCCTGGCCCCAGCCTCCCGTGGCCCCCAGGGCGGCAGCCCCCTCAGGTCTCCACCTCCCTGCCTCAGCTGTCTCTCTATGAGGGGCATTCCACACCTGATACACAGGGCCGCTGGGGCTCTCCCAGACACGTCTTCCTTCTATTCTCAGAGTGCAAGGCTCCACACCCTGCAGGGAGCCTACTCCTCACAGGATTCCATCACCACGGAGCAGACAGTCCTGCTTCCAACCTGCATCCTGAGTCGTGAGTCTGTGGCTGGAAGGAAGCCCAGGGCCACTCCCTGTATCCTGGGCTGTGCACAGTGCAGGGATGTGCAGGCCCTTCAGCACGCCCCTCGGAGCCCAGTGCTGGCCCTCTTGCTTTTGCACTGACACCCTGTGATCAATTCACAAAGAAAAAAATGTCCTCAGCAAGATGCAAGGCTCTGATGTAACAGCACTGCTCCTCACACACACCAGTGCTGACGGTGCCTGCCGTCTCCACCACACCAGTGCCTGGCACAGCTGAGGGAGCTGGATTTGAAGCTAAGCAGCTAAGTCTCCTCAGATTGGTGCCCATGAAACGCTGATGTCACAGGCATCAGCTTTACCCACTATCCCATAATGTTGGCCCCTGCTTATTTTTTACCTCTTTTTTTTAAAAAAAATTCATTTATCTACTTATTTATTTGAAAGGCAAAGTGACCTAGAGAGAGGGAGCCATTTGGTTCACCTATAACACCCACACGAGGGCAAGGCTGAAATCAGATCAGGATCCTGCAACTCTGTCTGGGTCTCTCAAAAGGCTGGAAGAAATTTGCACTGCACTCCCGGGTGCAGGAGCAGGAAGCTGGATTAGAAACAGAGCGTCTGGGACTTGGACAGGCGTGCTGACATGGGATGCGGGTGTCACAATCTGCAGCCTAACCCACTGGGCCACAGTGTCAGTGCTAGCACTTTTAACACAGATTAACGAGATAGAGCACTTTCCTGTGAAATCAATGTACTGTTTTAATAAGACCTTTGTTCAGATGGGCCAACTACAGACATGTACAGTGGAGGAGATGTTCTTTCTTAGCCAAGGTGACACTGTGAACTGAGCAGGCGGTTCTGTTGACTTTAAAGCCTGTAGTGTCTCCTAGTGGCCCAGCTTTCCCAGGTCAATGTAAACCCGAGAGCAGATACACTGACACCAGCAGGAATCCTTTCCCACTGCTCAGCATTCTTTGTTAAACTTAAAATCAAAAACACGCATTTTAAATCTTTTCTCAGAGTAATTTCACATCTCATACTTAACCCCTACACAGGATTTAGTAAAAATCTTTGTTTCTTAATCCCTGAAAAAAATAAATTTCACTTACAAGTTGGAATGATGCTTCAGCTGCTGGACAAGTGAACTCGAGCAGGACAATTATCATCAAGAAGACGTGAAGGCATTTGAGCCAAACACAGTCCTCCCATCTTACTCTTCCCTGTTCACATGCAATCACTCACCAAGTGGCAAAAATGCAAGGCGGTTTCCAGCCATGGAGAGCTCGTTGAGGCTGGGCAGCTGGCAGAGGTGGCGCGGAACATGGCAGAGGTGGTTGCAGTCAGCGGTGAGGTACTGCAGAGAAAGGCACAGGTGCAGCCTCTCGGGCAAGGTCAGCAGACGATTGCTGGAGACATCCAGTGTCTGCAGCTCCTTCAGGTCGCCAATCTCTACAACCCGGTTAGTACAAACACATGAATGAAATGAATCAATACTCAACAGTCTAACCAAAGCAAACCAAAAAGCTGAAACTCTTCCCGTGGTCGTGAATGCAGCAGCATGGGATTCGGGACAGCAGGTGTAATCCCACCACTGCAGCAGGGTCTTTCAACTAGCCTGCGTATATGTCCTAAGTGAGAAAATAGCCGACTTGAAGCAAGGGGAGCCCAAAGTGAGGGCTTTGCGTCAGACCTGATGACTAAGCACCGTGTCTAGGTGAGAAAAGAACCACAACAGCCTCTCCAATCCCTGGGTGCTGATCTCGTGGGATTTATCTACCATGCAAGTATCAAGTACTAGAAAATTCGCAAACTACAGTATCTGTGTAAACACAACTTGCTCAAGTGAACTAAGTAGATGATTTCTGGAATGGGAATCTGGGTATCTTTTGGAAATATGTCCCACAGTCAAGATTATAACAATAAGAATTTACTGTTAGTTTATTTTAGATATTGTCCAACCATGTGTTTCCTTTTTTAAAAAATTCTCTCCAAGAAAACATGAAAACATGTCCTTTTTAAAGATTTGTTTATTTTTATCTGAAAGGCAGATTTTATAGAAAGGGAAGGAGAGACAGATAAAGAAGCCTTCCAACCACTGATTCACTCCCCAAATGGCCACAATGTCCAGAGCTAAGCTAATCTGAAGCCAGGAGCCAGGAGCTTATTCCAGGTCTCGTGTGGGGACAGGGTCCCACAGATTCAGGCATTCTCTGCTGCTTTGCATGGCTATAAGCAGGGAGCTGACTCAGATGTGGAATATCCAAGATATGAATCAACACGAGTAAGGGATGCCAGTGCAATACAGTGCAGAGTTAGTATGCCACACCACTGCACCAGCCCCACAGTGGACATACCGTATACAGTCTTAATTTCAACCCTAATGAAGTCCATCCATCTACTCCAATAATCTCTTATCATCAAGGTCTACAGACATGATCATGTTGAATGCAACTACATCCTTGTAATCGTCAAATCATTAAGTCTTGTGTCAACATTAGGAGTTCTTTACAAGGAACTCAGTCCTCAGAGAAAATCACCATTTTAAGGGAAGGATGCTCTGTCCTGGGACAGCACATTCCACACTGCAGGCTACTGCAGCAGGCCCTGCACAGGGTCAGTCTACTTCCCCCACATCCTGGCCACATGCCCTGCTGACTGCACTGACGCATCGCTTGCACTTCCTTAATCCTGACCCTGCTCCTCAGCCACTCTCGAGGTTATGTTTTCCCATGCTTTATCACTAGACAGTAAGCCTCTGGGGACATTCCAGCCACATCTCCCCTACTGGACAACGACATCTTCTCCCTGGGATGCTCGATTCCACAGATTAGCTTTCCTTACTGCTACATACCCAGGGTCAGAAAAATGGACACAGGCCAAGTATAGCTCACAGTCTCCCATGCACTCCAACTGCCTTTGCCATTTGTATAGAGTGTGGAACAATAACTGCAAAGAATATGCGACAGAGACGGGAAGTGGCCAGCAAAGCCTGAAGATCCTTACTCTGTGTTCTTTAAATAAATATTTGCTGGCCTTCACTTAGACTAATTCTCACAAATGTTTTTCATCATTTTTTTCTACATAAAAGTAATACAAGTGTAAAATATATCAACTTTTAGATATTTTCCTATATTGATAGATTTGTACTACATTCACACTTTGCTATTCAATTTACTCAATTTTCTTTTAAACATTTATTGGGAGAGAGAGAAGAAGAGACAGAGAGAGGTCATCCAAATGCTTGTTCACTCCTCAAATGACTGTCATGGCCAAAGCCAGGACCCAGGACCTTCATGCCAGTCTCACATGGGTGCAGGGGCCCAAGAACCTCAACTGTCCTCTGCTGCTTTCCCAGGCACATTATCAGGAAACCGGACTGGAAGTGGATTAGACGAAAACCGAACGCGTGACTGTATCAGATGCCAGCATTGCAGACAGCAGTTTCCTCCACTACATCATAACCCCAGCTCCAATCTCCTCAACACTGAACAAAACATACCTTTGAAAATGAGCAGACAAGAGCCAGTAGCCATCCTGTGACTCCAATGGGAGTCTATTAATTGAGGCACACAAATTAATCTCACTTAAGGCTGCACCAGTATACTCTACCACCTACCTGGGCCCACTTGGATGCCAACCACTTATTTCATATAAAACTGTGCTTCTGATATAAGATGTGGAAGAATTGGGAACTGGTGAAAAATCATTATTTTTTCCAAAGCAAACAAAAAGAAAAATTCCTTTTAAACCTCACTTTACAGAATGACTCTAGGAGTCAAGTGGGACAGAAGAGCCACTGAACAGCACGAGACCAGGAGCCAGAGAATGAGGCAGCTTTGCTTACGGCACAACTCAGAGAACCAGGCAGCAGCAGCTCACATGCAGGCACTAAGTGAGGCTCCAGAAGCTTGGCAGGTGTTCTGGAGATGCGACCTTAACTAGGTCAAAAGCATCACTCAGCAGGGCATGAGGGGGAAGTGCAAACACAGGGAGAAATAAATAAAATGGGCTCTTTGGGGTCCACCAAGTGCCAAAGACTCCGAGGAGGAAAGAACAGAAGACGAACTGAATTCACATCACTTGGTAGGCTTGCATGACGATCAGTGTCACGGAGCAGGTGTGGACTTCTTGGAGTGAGAACACACTTTTCTTGATTCTCAAAGAATGAAAGGACTGCTGGAAAGGGTAGACTGGTAAACACACACACACACACACACACACACACACACACACACACACACACACACACAGTGAAACAGAAGAGGTTACAGGCATTACAAGGAGGCATTTGACTAGGACAGAAAGAAAATGATGAAACTGGAAGGGCAGTTCTAGAGATATTTTAAAAAGTATGAGGTAGGCCTGACTAGATATGGAAAAGAGTAAAACAGGAAAAAGGCAAAGATTTTATTAAGCTACTGTACTAGTACAGTGCAAGAATGGTAATGTCCAAATGAAAAAACAATTATTTTTATAGGAAACAATAAAATGTCACCAACACTTCAGAATTACATTGTCTATACATCATTTGTTTACAGGTATTAGGAAAAACGCCATCAAAATTTACATGTAAGACAAACAACTGATTATCATTATTTCAAAAACAATGAAATGCGCAGAACAGGATTCTGATACAGCTGGTCTGCCTCTCTGGCATGGTGAAATCTGTGAATCCAGGTGGCTGTCAGTTTAGGCTTTCCATACTTTGAAGATGTGCTTTTTCAGTTGGGACAGGTCAATATTTTTTGTTTTGGTAGATTTGCACAATATCAGATACCAAAATTTGTAACACTTTTGACAACAGAGGAAAAACAGAGACTACTAGAGCTAAAACTCAAGGTAATGAGCAATGAAAAAAAGAGAAGTCACATTTATTTCCTATATTTAAAGAGTAAAACAAACAACTATATCTAAAACTTGCAAAATAACACACAACAGAAAAGTCATAAACAGTCATCTGAGTGGCTTAGTATGCAAGTCTTTCCATTTGTTTAAAGCTTGAAACAATTGTTAATCCAATTAAAATATTGAGTCGAATACGACCTATAATATGGTTGGGAAGCAGCTGACTGAAGTACTATGAAGTGTCTGACAAAAAAAATCAGAATTACAGAGCTTTCCCAGGTGGTCTGAAATAAATGTAATTTTCATGATCACTACATAACATGCTAGAAATCTAGGACAGTTTATGGATGTCATCTGAATCAATTCAAAAGCGTACTTGCTAAGCTCAGCCATGGAGAGTGCATTTGTCAGAAAACAGTCAAACTTCACCCAGGCTTCTTACTCAGACTTGTAACACTAGAAACATGAGGGTGGAAATATTGTTGAGAGTGGGCTCAGCCTGAAAACTGGCCAACTGTCAGCCACACACACACCCAGTGCACTGGTCCAGTCTGGAAGCCGCACTGCTGCACTGAGGCAGGGGCAGCGGGTTCTCCCCTCATCTCTGAAGACCCGAGCAGCATGGATCCACCTGCTCAGCTTGCAGAGTGGCATCTGGCCTTTCCTCAGAAGGAGCAACACCACTCATTCTCTGTCAACAAATTAACAATGCTGTTCTCTCAGCTTCCAGACTCCAAAATCTTTATTCTTTTATATATAATGTATTATTTTGCTTCAAGTGCTTTTAAAATCTTGTCACTTGTTAGCAGAGTGATTATGCTGTATTTTGAGTTTTGAGAATTTTATACTATTTGCAGTTTATTGAGCTTTTTGAAGCTGTACATTTATGTCTTTTATCACATTTTGGAAGTTTTGGCCTTCAAATCCAGTCTCCAAATCTACAAGTTGTTACATTTGAATAAGTATAACCGATTATTCATTTACTATGTTTAAGTTTTTAAGCTATGCATGGCTCTTGGAAGCAAAACTATAGCAACTGGCTTAAGCATACCACAACAGTCAATGAGCAAAAGTACAGAGATTTCAAGGTAGATGTAAAAATATGTGAGTAACACCAAGAAGGGCAGGAAAGGGGGAACAGAGAAAGAGTCCAAGGTAGCCAACAAAAAGCAGATATTAAAGTAGATGGCTTAAAACTAACACATTTCACAACTATATTAACTGCAAATAGCCTGAAGGCAGCAACTGAAAAGGCAGACCGTCAGAGTGGATTTTGCAAAAGGAATCTAGTATATTCCATCTAGAATGAATTTATTCTAAATACACAGACTAAGCTTTAAATAATGCACACAATGACCTCCCCAAAGGCAGGACTTCCCAGAGGGTGGAAAGAGGAGGTTGCTAAATCTTCTGTCCAAATAACCAAGTCATCAGAAGCAACCATTTCAGCACACTGCAAATTAGCCAAGCATTTTGACAAATGCACAAGCAATCAGCGCAAAGAAACAACTGCGATTTGAACAGGAACAGGAGCATGTGTACCCGGGGCAGCTCCACCCTGTACCCTGCTGAGTCAGTGAGCAGCTCCAATATGGCAGGCAAAG